TGAAGGGTCTAGGCCCGAAACGTCAGCCTCTCTGCTCCTATGATGCTGCTTGGCCTGCTGTGTTCATCCAGCCCTGCACCTTGTTGTCTCGGATTCTCCAGCATCTGCAGTTCCTACTATCTCTGATTGTATTTTTTTTAGGATGGATATGATTTTGACAGTTTTAAAATGGAGGGCAATTGTATCCAAGAAAAGGGGACTATTTATATTAGGAGATAACATTGGCATTATGAGGGGAGGTTAGATAGCTATTGATCAGGAGTGGAGTCAAGAAATGCTTAGGGCTTAACCACACAGAGAAAACACATATCCACCATTCATTGCCATTGTCATTTTTATTTAACTCCCTATTTTTATTATTACCCATACATATTTCATCTTTCCCACAGCCTGAGTATCTCAGTTCAGCTTTTTGCCCTTTTATCCCATCTAATTTGGAACCCACATTCCATTTACACCTTTGTATCCCACATTTTTATCACATTGTCATCAGTGCTGTCCTCTTCCTTTTCCTCATCATGGAATCAGAGAATTGTAGGCCACTGAGGAGGCCATTTGGACCATTCTACTTGTGCAAGTTTCTTGAAAGTCAATCAATACACTCCCTGCTCTTTTATCATAGCTCTGAAATGTTCTTCTTTTCAAGCATGCATCTAAATGGCCCTTGGAAAGTTACTATTGAATCTGCTTCCACTGCCTGTTCATATCTCTTCCAGATAACCAATTCTTTAAAAAATCCCTCATGACAACAGCTGGAATTTTGGTTTAGTAATAATCCTGATAACAAAATGAAGATCTCACTGCTCTATCCCTCAATCTGTGAATACTTTTTTGGTTTTAATAATGTTGAGTGCCTTTTATGTATGAACATAGATGAATTTAGAAATAAATGTCATGAAATATTTATTGAAAACATTAGATGGCGCTATATACCAAGATGTGACACTTTTAACAGTGGCAACGCTTCAGTTTCTTATATATTTATTGTGTTCTGTTCTTACTTTTTCTAAATAAATCACTAAAATGTTTGAAGGCAAGTCTTAGCTGTACCTAATGTGAAGATGCCTAATGTTGATGACAATGATAAGCATGAAAACTGAACATTACAGAGCAGCACAGCAACTGAGCCCATCTCCGTGAAGAGAAATGAAAAGACTGCATTTGGTTGTGAAACTTCTGTCAGAAGTGGAAACTCATTGTATAGAGCCTGTTCTGGCAGCTTCGCTCATGCAAGTTGAACGTATGGAAGGACACACTTGCTCCTATAGGAAGTGCAATTAAGGTTCTCCAGACTAATTCCTGGGATGAGGATATACGAGGAGACATTGAGTAAACTAAACATCAATGTAGACTTCAACTGTCCCTCTGGAAGGTATGTTGCCAATCTGTCAACTCCGGCTATCGCCATCTCCTCTAGGCACCTCTGACTAGCCCTGTGAAACATATTTTCATAAGTGATGTTGTGTCTCATAGAAACAAAGAAACTACGAGCAGGATCCTTAGAGCCTGCACCACCATTCATTGGGATCATGGCTGATCCTGTATCTCAATGCTGCTTTCTCCCTCTAACCCTTAGTGCCTTTGATTCCTAAAAATATATCTATTTCTTTCTTCAATATATTCAGTGAGTTGGCCTCCATTGTCTTCTGTGATAGCAAATTCCACAGGTTCACTACCCTTGGAGTGAAAAAAAACTTTTCCTCACCTCAGTCCTAAATGGTCTAGCCCACATTCTGAGACTGTATCCCTTTTTCTGGACTCTCCAATCACAAGAACATTCTCCCTGCATCTAGTCTGTTAAGCCCTGGTAAAATATCACACTTATCAAGGAGATCACCTCTCATCGTTCTAAATTCTAGTGAATACAAGTGCAGTTGAACCAATCTATCCTCATAGGACAGTCCTACTATCCTCAGTATCAACATAGTGAATCTTCGCTGCACCCTGTCTATGGCAAATACCTTCTTTCTTAGTTAGGCAGACTAAAACTGAATGCAATACTCCAGGACAACAAGGTGCAGAGCTGGATGAAAACAGCAGGCCAAGCAGCATCATAGG